TAAAGCAAAAAAAAAAAAAAAAAAGAAAACGAAAAGAAAAAAGACTCGATGATATTGACATGACTAAGAAATTACAGGCTGCTGTAATTTGCTGAGATATGAGATTGTTACTGCAGCAAAACTTTTGTCTAAACTGACTGATACAGGGAGTGAATTTAGTTTGAAGCTTTCCTGTTCTACTCTCCTTATGTATGGATTTGGTTTCACTTTCCATGAAATCCTCTGAGACCACCTAAGTGAGTTTCTGTTTCTTACAACCAACACCCTTGGTAAAACTGACAAGAATGATATTATTTAGAACTATTTTCTTCTTAAACATTTATCATGTAATAAGCTCTACCTTCCTCTATGCCCAAATTAAGATATAGGTTGAGCATACCTAATCTGAAAATCTTAAATCTGAAATGCTCCAAAATTCAAAACTCTTTCAGTGGGGTTATGGTACCACAACTAGAAAATTCTACACCTGACTTCACATGATAGATCACAGGCACACTGAAAATACTATATAAGACTACCTGCAGGCATCTGAATGAGGTACATGGAACATAAATGAATTTTGTGTTACACTTGGATTTTATCACCAAACTATCTTATTATTTATATGCAAATATTCCAAAATCTCTCCAAATCTGAAATTCTTTGTTCCTAAGCATTTCAGATAATGGATACTTGACCTGTATATGTATATACATATTGAAAACTCCATTAACTTGTTTAGTAGGGAAGTGAAATGGATTGTACTGATGGTAGGGTGGTTTTTCTCTGTGCAATATTCTTATTCCACAATAACAGATGGCTGTGATAATTTTCTCTTATTTTATGCAAACTGTGATTTGACCTGAAATTCTAATTAATAGCATCTTTTCAAGAGATAGGCAGGGAAAATAATTTCAACTACTTCAAAGTGATAATATTTTTGTGGAGTATCTGACAAAAAAAATGGAGCCATCAATTACTTTATCTTTGTTATGAAAAAACAAAATACCATGCTTAATATGTAAATATTTCTATAGTAGTCATAATCCTTGAGCTTACTTCAAGTGAGCATTCTCTCTGCACCCAGGAGGATATGGGCCACCTTCCAGAGCAGCTTTGGGCCACACCTTATGCCCTGACAGCAGGAGCAGCTTGGAGGATGAGATTTTTTACATAGCCTTTGTTGAATAGTGAAACCTAAGACTTCTGTCTTACACAAACAGTTCATGATTATATCAAAGTGAAATTAGCAAATTATAAACATTGCAACTAGTTTCTCCAAAATACTTTTAGTTTTAATGCCTTTACATTCTTGGGGGTGAGAAACACTGAGAAATACAAGTCTCCAGGGTGTAAGGAGCAATGTCCCTTGTGGAGATGGAACTCCTCTCCCATCCCTTGCACTGCATCTCAGTACAAAGAGAGAAAATTCTCTTCTCTGTCACATTCTCCTGAAGACCTGTAAGAATGTTTCCAATGCACACAGGATGTTCTGACTGCACTAGAAGTAAACTAAAAGAAAAAAAAAACCATGAACATAGGGGACCTATTACATTGACTACAGGAACATATAGATTATAATATATTTACTGCATAGCTATTGATATATCTTTATAGTGTGCATATGTACATTCATATTTCCTGAATGTCATTTTAGTGACATTGCATTATACATTTTGCTACACAAATGGTAACGTCACTATACAATTAAGTGAATTTTTTTCTAGAATTCTTTAGGAATGAAACTTAGTTTAAAATGCTCCCACTGCAAGTCTTCATTAAAACGAAAAAGAAGGTATGAGAAAAACAACATTCGAGATAAATTTAGGATAAATGGTCAGATGTTAAGATAGAAAAGAAAATCTTTTCTCAAACACAAAAGAATGATTACAAATCTTTACTGATTCAGTGATTGATAAAATATTCAGGAATTCAAGGATGATCATGTTAGGATTTGGAAATGTGAACTGCTTAAAATTACAAAGTAATAACAGTGGTTCCAATCGCCTGTTTTAAAATGCCTATAAAATAATTTTTGTGTTGTAGCTTTTATATCAGACTAAGCTAGATAAAGGACTGTAATAAGAAGTGACAGTAAATAAAAACTATTACCAGATATTTGATTTAAAAGGCTGCTTGTTTTACTATTATTTTTCATGAATAATGAAGGTCGCAAACATCTGAAAAATATTTAAACTGCCAACTAATACATTTTAACCCCTTCTTTTTAAAACTACTTAAAAATCAAGTTCAGCCATTTTGTCTTGAATGGGTAAGACACTTATGCCTGAGGCAAATAGTTTTTCATAGCATTTTCTCTATCAGGAGAAATGACTGAGACGGTAGAATATTAACAGTTTTATGTCTCATAAACTTATGTTGACAATTAACTGCCTAACTTTGGGAGACCTAAGTATAATTCTTTGCTCTCTTACCTTTTGAAAGGCATAGAAATCCTGGCCCATGAGCTTTTGTACAGGTAGAGGTATAATTAACTAAATCACAGACTAACCAAGGATACTGAGTGTTAATACATTAACTACCTTCCTAAGGAACTAAGGTTGAGGAGTAATGTTTGTTGTTCATCCAACATATGAGAACTAAATGTTAAAATCTGTTATCATTCTGCCTTATTTATTCTAGGCAGCCTAATTAACTGGACAAAAATGAGACCTACTTACTCTTGGAAAAAATGTGCAGCAGATCAGGAAACAAATGGTCTTCTAGTCATCTTATCCAGTATCTCAAAGATTTTCACATTATTCATTGATTTTATCTAGCTTTCTACCCAGTCAGCACCACCATGTTTACTCACAACTTCCATTGTGAATTAAAACAAATGACTGAACATTTCAACTGTACATGGGGTTTGACAGAGAGTTAAAGATTCCTTTTCTTATTAATGGATAAAGTATAGGCTCTTCCTCATAGAACAGTGATGCTGTGGTTTGATCATCCTCATTAGTCTGTATCTGTAAGTTGTTTGGCCAGACAGTGTTTTCATTCTCAGATACAGTGTAGGGCAATTCTGCAGAAACTGTAGTTAGTTGAAGAGTGAAACACAGAATGAAGAAAAACATGGCTGTGAACTAAACTTCTGAAGTTTCAAAATTAAATGTCATTTTAGAAAATATAAACTGAAATGTTTTTAAAAAAACAGAAGTGTGCACCCAGTGATGTTAAGATTTGTGCCAATTTAAATCTTCATCAGTGCTGATATGGCTTAACAAGTTATATGTGAGAATACAAAAGACTGTAAATATAGATCACATTCATTTGGGACACAGAGTTAAAACCTCTTAGTGATTGCTGAAAATGGTGATATCTGCCCTTTTATTGCTCTGAATAAATTATCACTGTTCTAGCCTTAACCCAGAGTTGGCATCTCTCAGAGGCCAGCTCTCCAAAGAATGCTGGGAAACTACAGGACTGTAGCTGAGGCCTCACATCATTTTTCTTGCCCTGCCTCATCCTTGGGTTCAGCCCAGTGATGGAAAGAAAACTTCCCTCCCATCATCCTGTACCCCTGCCTTAGACACCTCCACCTAGGTGGATTATTTAAGAAGCAAAAGTCAAATTTAAACACATCTTGGCAGTGTGATTCTCTTCCATCTGAGTAGCATGAGCATAATATTATAACAACCTCCTTCTGCATGAAACTTCTTTTCCTATGTGTGTGGCAAGGGGGCCATAAATAAATACAAAAATAATACAATTAACACATACCATATGACAGGGAAGCATGCCAGAAAGTGATAAGAGCTACTGAAAAAAATAATAGAGGGAAGTGGTAGCCTCTGAGGAGAATGGCAACCATTATGGTTAGTCAAGGCTCTGTCTAAACGTGACCTCTGAGCAGACACTGGAAGAGGGCCAGTGAGTGAACCACTGGGATCTTTGGCTGGGAAAGACTTTCAGGCTGAGAGAACCCAAATGCAAAGTCCCTAGGGTGGGAAGGTGCCTGGTGTTGACTGAGCAACAGCAACATACACCATGTGGCTGGAGCAGAAGGAGTGAGTGGGAAGCTATGAGGTCCACTGGATGGAAGGAACAGGTTGTGTAGCTTTGGAGAGGCCAATCTGAGGGCAGTCTGAGAGACAGGTGAGGAGCCACCCTGCGATTTGGGGTAGAGGAGCGGAATGGGCTCACTTGTTACAGGCACTCTTCTTGACTAGCTATGGCAGAGGCACCATCAAAGAGACCAGGAAGGTACTTTGAGAACAGGTGTCCCAAAGTTTGCCTAGGTAACCACCTAAAGAGAACAAGCGTTGAGTCCCAGAGAAATGGGCTTGAGCTTGATTGGAAGGGGTTTCCCTGGGAGATACTCCTCCTTGACTACCAGTGGGCGACCACGCAGAAAACTCTGGTTCTTGTCATTCCAGCCTCAGGTCCCGCTCTGGGAGGGTCTAGCCCCAGCCTGCTGGCCCCGTTGCCATGGTGATCGAAGGATTTTTTTTTTTTTTTCCCCCACCCTCCCCTTTCTTCTCTGGTACTAGGCACCCGGACCGGAATCCCTGCCCGCCCCAGCGCCAGATCTGACCCAGCGCAGGCTCATCAGTATTCCACCCGCGGAGTCTCTTGGCGTCCGCCCATCCAGCAGAGACAGACCCACCCTCCCCCTCCCCGGGGCTCTCAGCCGTCCCTGATCTGAAGCTTGCCCGTGGCCTTAGGCACTGCCGGGGCTCTGCCCAGGGACGCAGCCCAGTGCCACCCTCTGGGCAAGGCCAGGGGCTGCAGACCCGCGGCGGAGAGGGGGCGCCCTACGCGCAGCTCACAGGCAGCGCGCCCGGGAAACCCACTCTAAGGCAACCCCGCACCAACTCTCTCGGGGGACATTCAACTTCCCTGCGTGCGGTTAAGCTCCCCAGAGCCTTCTGCAATGCACCAGATCGCGAAGGCCTCGAAGTCACCTTCATTGCGCCCCCGCTTGGATGCGCTGTGAGCAAAAGAAGAGACCGGTTGCGCCAAAGCGGGAGGATCTGAGGCGCAGGGAGTTAGGGGTGGGCTTTCTCGGGACTCACCTTATGCAGTTTCCACATGGCCCCCAGGGCCTTGACTTCGTGGCTGGAGTGTTTGCCCTCCTCCAGGCACTGGTAGCACACGGGCATCTTGCACTGCACGCAGTACATGCTGTGGTTCTCCAGCTCGTGGTCGGTGCAGGTGGAGACCTTGCGCGGGCTCAGTCTCCGGCTCACGCGGCCCTGGGCCGGGGGCACCAAGCGGTGCTTGGCCAGGGGCCCCCGGGGCGGGTGACAGCGCAGGCGACAGGGGTCGCAGTAGAAGACATCGCACTGTTCACACATGACGGTGGCCTCCTTGGGCGCCTTCTCGCACAGCTGGCACTTGAGGGCCGCGGCTTTGCTCTGTTGGTAGCGGTCAATGACCCCTTCCAAGACGCGGTTCTTGGGAAAGCCGCGGAGCCCCCGGTCGTCCAGGATGAGGCTGCGGTGACACTGGGGACAGGTGATACAGGAGTTGCGGGGCACCGGGGCCAGGGCCGGTGACAGGTGGGTGGGCGGTGGCGGCATGGCCGGGGGAAACACGCGGACGCCGTTGGGGGACTTCTGGCACGGGGTGGTGGGGGCGCTGGCGAAGCCCCCGTAGGAGCCGTAGCCGCTGTCCGCCTCGCTGTAGAGGCTCATCTTGTCCAGGTCCAGGTAGTCATAGTCGGAGACCCCAGAGCCCGAGGCCCGACGGCTCTGGGGGGACTCCGACTCCGGGGTCTGCACCAGGATGTTGCGGGCGCACGCCTGACACAGATTGTGGGAGCAGGGCAGGATGATGGGCTCCCGGTAGAAGGAGCCACACACGGGGCATTTCAACTCTTCCTCCATCTCTTCCATGGGGACCTGGCGGGAAGCGAGGCTGCAGCAGCTGCAGCCGCGGACGCCTGGGCTGGTGGGGCGGCGGATGAGCCTCTCGTGTCCAGCACCTTGGCCAGCGGCGGCGGCGGCGGAGGCTTCCCGGGTCCCCCTGGCGCCGACTCCCTGCGACGCGCTCGCTGTGTGAGCTGTGGAGCCAGCGCGCCCAGCGAGGGCCAGGGACCGCCCTCCTGCCCTCCTAGACCCGCCCCACCCGGGAGCCGAGGCTCATTGGATGACGGGCGAGGACGCGGAGTTCTCATTGGCCGCACCTCCTGTCTGTCTCCTCTCATCCGCAGGCCCCCGGGGGTTTGGTGAAGTCTGAGGAGGAGCGGATTCTTCTCTGTCTTGCTCGCTCGCGGCTGCAGGATCTCGGGAGGGGGCCGGCGTGCGGAGGGTAAGGGGGGTGCTGGGGAAGAAGGAATTAGGCGGGATGACTCATCCCTCACCCCGCTTCCTTCCGACCTGCGATGCAGTCACCCAGGAGCAGGGGCTGTGAGAACCTCCTCCCCGCCGCGAGTGGGCTGGCGGAGGGGGCGGGTGCTTCTAGTCAGCCGCGAGCGAGCGTTTGGCTCCACCACGGGGGAGAGCTGCGCAGCGCGGGACGCTGCCGGCCCCCTCCCCGCCGCGCGGCGTCTCCGCCTGGTGCAGCCGGAGCCCCGAGCGCCCCCACCCTGAGCCAGACGGCGCTGGGCGGGAGCCATGGCGAGGGCCTCTCAGCCTCCTTCTGCTGCAGCCGGGCGCCCGCGCCTCCAGAAGCGGGTTAATAATAGCGACTTCCTGGCGTGGCTTGAGATTGAGCGAGGTAACCGATGTAAAGGCTCAGCGTTAGTCGAAATCCATGCCACCTTCATTTCAGGCCCCATGCCCCCCGCAGTCGCTGCCCCCAAAGCTGTGGCCTCACCCCGCGCCTCGCTGAGCTTCCCAAGGCCCGCAGGAACGTGGGTTCCGTGGAGGCAGGGCGAGTTCGCCTCCTCTGGGTGCCTGTCGTTTAGTACCTAGCTCTGAAGGAATCTCTGTATGGCTGCTGCGGAGTCTTAGTGTTTGGCTGCAAACAACATTAATCAATGTCACATGCCCTGAACATCGATCCAGCTCCAGCCTGGGGTTATCTTTCTGTTTCCTCTTGTGCGGGGTGTGTGGTGACGGTGGATGAAGCGCGTATTCCAGTAAGAGCCCTTACACATTAAGTAACTTCATCTCTTCTCCCCAGACATCGCTGGAGATGACACTGTCTGCAAAACCGTTGATATGGTGATAGAAAAGAAAAGAAAAATCATTGAATCAAGTGGCATGCTAAAGTAGTAACTTATTTGAAATAGTACATGGCTGACTTTTGCTGAGTGATTCATGCAGGCAGTGATAAAAATTATTTCCAAATCCTACGTAAATTTTCCAAACTACCAGCTCCCAGAAAGGTAATTTGATTATTTGCAGAAACATTTGTAGTTTAGAATTACTGTGTTGCCTAGAAAAAGAAAAGGACTTTCTGCAGTCTTATCCTTGGAGAAACAGAGCAATAAACAAAATGATCTTTCCAACACCTTTTTTAGTTGCAATGAAAATAGTAGTTGGTCACCTTGTAGGGGAAAAAAATACCTCATTCTTACGTAAAGCCATGTTAATCATAAATGCTTCCCAGTTTACTTTTAACCTGGCTGATCACTAGTTGAGACCAGAACACCCAAAGGTGTATGTCGTCTGTTTACAGACATAGACTTTTTTCAAACATAGTTGGGATGTTACCTGTACTTTGCAGGACACATCTAATTATGGGTCCCAAGAGAATTTGCTTGTACCAAGTAGTTAATTACTGAGAAACTGTTAGGAAGAAATGTCACTACCATTATAAGTTACCATCTTTTCATGATTTTTGTATGGATTTGGCTGAAAATCACAGTGACTCTGGACAGTGTATACTATTTATGCTAAGAGGCCTATTTCTCAGCAGAAAACTTACACTTAGTTCAAAGGAAAGGACGATCTCAAGGAAAAGCAGGTGGTGTAATAAAGTGTTGGGTACACAGACCTCCATATAATACAGATTAAATACAGTATAGGTTCTGACAGCACACAGTCAGTACACAGAAGTCTGAACTATTATGAAGTGTCTTGAGGTGATTTGTTAGATCTGTTTGGCCAGGGTTAGCTAAATTGTTCATCCCTAGGAGAGCTCTTAGAATGAATGTTATTTATTGAGAATTCACCCTCTTCCAGGCAGCAGGTTTATTTATTTATATGCATTACTTGGTCCAATCCCTGTAATAAGAATTATCATCATTTTGCAGGTTAATAACTTGAGGATAAGAAAAGACACTGAGTAAGTATTCAAGGTCTAATACTGGTGAGACTAGGATTTGAGTTCAGGCACGTGAAAGTTTGTTCCTTTGTTCATTCATTCATCGAGTGAATGTAGACTTCTACTCTGTCAGTTTCTCTGTGTGACAAACACCCCAAATGGTCATTGTTAACCTCTGTGCTATTCTGCTTTATAGTCCCTGAGACATTATTATTTTTCCTACATTTATTTCTCTAAAATATTTCAGTAGGCATTTGAAGAGTTTCCTGTTATGGTGCACAACCAGGTTATGGTGTCTGTACTTTAAAGTCCCCAATGAGGAGAATGAATATCTGAATGTAATCGATGATATAGAATACTATCCCATTGGGGAAATATCTCCTTTTATCCAGGTTGTGATCAGTCTGTGTACTGAAGCATGAGGATGCTTAACCTTGTAATTTCATCATTCTTCCTGTGATTACAGATGTTCTCATTTGAGTAAAATGCCTGATTATCCTCTGAAACTTACTATTCACCTAAATGGTGTTTTTCCAGCAGTAAGTTGAGCAAATTTAAAATACACTACTGACCTTTCCATTTAAAAAAAAATGTTTTCCAGTGAAACATGGAAGACATCTTTCCATCTTTCACTGTTATTGACATAACAGTCTCTGAACCTGAAGAATAAACACAAAGGATTCTTGTTCTTATTCTCTCTCTACATTGTCTTCTAATACCATTTCTTCTTTCTTGTAGGGGGTAAAGTCAATGCAAAGAGTTGATCAAAGGCTCTGACATTTTAAGAATCTCTGACCCCCTCCCACAAATACTTTTTACCTGCTTAGTGATTAAAGGTGTTACTGAATGTGGTTTATAAAAATTGAATCATTTGAAAAACGTTAGGTGTAGTGTTTCTGTTTTTAAAAGAAATTATGAAGAAACTTCTTTTTATGGCATAATTTAGCCCATTAATTTAGGTTATATTTTAAATAGTCTATATTATATTTTAAATAGTCTATATTTTAAATAGTCTATATTATCTTTTAATAACACATTTTTATATTCTTTGATATTTTATTTAGTTTGGTATTGGTAATTGAACCCAGGGCATTTGCTCTGGGCTACATCCCTAATCTTTTAAAAATTTTTTTGTTTGAAACACAGTCTCCCTAAGTTCCTGGTATTTTAAATCAAGTGATTATTTCTACTGGAAGATGACCTTATATAAATTCTGCAGTATTTCTGAGAAATATATTACTAATGCTTTGCAAAAGGTAGAGAACCTGAAAAAATGGAGTTTTAATGAATCCTATACTAAGCGAGTTGGAGAATATATCCAAGATACCAAATCTATGAATACTAGGAATTCTGGAATATGAAAAAAATATAGCTAGAGAAAAAACTACAGTTGAGAAAATAATTTCTGTGAACAAAAGAAAGATAAGAGGTGAAAGACTAAAGAGATCTTAGAGCTATAGATGACACTGATGAAAAATGACCCAAGCAAATACAGATCAGTGTGAAGAAAAAAAAAATCATACCATCTCCTAGGCAGAAAAGAAATCCCCACAACTTAATTATAAAGAAAAAAGAATGAAATTGGCATTGGACTTCTTTATGCTGTGTTGAAAGTGAAAGAATGTGAAGTAAATTCTACAGTCTACTAAATGTAGAAGTCACCCTATCTTAGTTCATTTTGTGCTGCTATATCAGAATAACATTGACTGGGTAATTTATAATGAGCAGAAATATATTCTCACAGTTCTGAGGGCTAGGCGGTCGAGATCAAGGTACCAGAATCTGGTGCAAGCTTCTTTCTTTGTCATCCCACCATGAAAGGCAAAGAGAAAGCAAGAGAGATGCTAAGAGTTTGCCAAACTTGACCTTTATAAGGAACCCATTTTTACTATAATGGGATTATTTCACTCATGAAGGTAGTGCCTCCATGATCCAAAAATGTCCTAAAATTTCTCCATCCATACATCTTTGTATTAGGGGTCAAGTTTCCCAACACATAAACTCTGAGGGACACATTCATACCATAGCACATCCTATGCATTTTCTAGACAGTCAAGAGGTCCATGTCTGGCAAGAAAGACATTTGCAAGAACTCGGAGAACATAAGAATTACTTAATCCAGCATACCTCATAGAAGTAGAGAAAATATTCCTAAAATTCATCTGGAACCAGAAGAGACCTAGAATAGCAAAGGCAATCCTGAGCAACAAAGACAGGAGGCATCACAATCACTGACATGAAATTATAGTACAAAGCTACTGTGATAATATCAACATGGTACTGGCAAAAAAATAGACATGAAGACCGGTGGAACAGATTAGAAGATGCAGACACAATTAGAAACACACTCAGCCACCTTATCTTTTACAAAGGGGCCAAACATGTTCACTGGAAGAAAGACATCCTCTTTAATAAATGGTGCTAGAAAAACTGGCTCTCTACATGCCAAAGACTAAAACTAGACTAAAACTAGACTGATGTCTATCACCATGCACTAAACTAAAGTCAAAATGGATCAAAGATGTAAATGTTAAAGCAGAGACACTAAATCTACTGGAAGAGAAAGTAGGTCAAAATCTTGAAGACACTGGGGTAGGCACAGTCTTTGTGAACAAAACTCAAACTGCATGGGAAACACTTCAAACAATCAACAACTGGGATCTCATCCTATTAAAAAGCGTTTGTACTTCAAAAGAAATCACCAATGGAATGAAAAGACAACCCACAGAGTGTGAAAACGTTTTGGCTAACTGCCTCTCCAACAAAGGACTTATATCTAGAACATATAAAAATTGAAAAAACTCAGACCTCCCAA